CTGGACGGCAGCGGGGAGTACCGGCCCGACCTGTCGCTGCCGCTGCACCACGCCATGAGCGTCCCCTGCGACACCTCCTCACCGGGGATGGGGATGAGCGGCACCTACACCACCTTAACCCCGCTGCAGCCGCTGCCCCCCATCTCCACCGTGTCCGACAAGTTCCACCATCACCACCATCACCACCACCACCACCACCAGCGGCTCTCCGGTAACGTCAGCGGCAGCTTCACACTGATGCGGGACGAGCGGGGGCTGCCGGGCATGAACAACCTCTACAGCCCCTACCACAAGGACCACATGTCCGGGATGGGTCAGAATCTGTCCCCGGTGTTGGGCAACGGTCTGAGCTCCATACACCCCAACACCCAGCAGGGTCTTCACAACTACGGCGCGACGACGCACGGCGGCCACGACAAGATGCTGAACTTCGACCACACTGCCTCCATGTTGGCCAGAGGGGACCACCACCACCAGCACCGAGGCCTCGGCGGCCACACGGCCGGCATGATGCCGCACCTGAACGGCATGCACCACCCGGTACACCCGGGCACCACCGGTGGCGCTTCCTCGGCGGGTCACCACCCCCACGCGCATCTCCAGTCTCCATCCCACGGGCCAGTGTTAGGCTCCACGCGAGACAGACCGCCCTCCTCCTCGGGGACGCAGGGGGGAAACGGCACGGGGCAGCTGGAAGAGATCAACACCAAAGAGGTGGCGCAGAGGATCACGGCGGAGCTGAAGAGGTACAGCATCCCGCAGGCCATCTTCGCCCAGAGGGTGCTGTGCCGCTCCCAGGGCACGCTGTCAGACCTGCTGAGGAACCCCAAACCCTGGAGTAAACTAAAGTCAGGCAGGGAGACCTTCAGGAGGATGTGGAAGTGGCTGCAGGAGCCCGAGTTCCAGAGGATGTCGGCGCTCAGACTGGCAGGTAGGAGCGGCCAGAGCGGTGCGTAACAATAATAATAATAATAATAATAATAATAATAATAATAATAATAACAAGTCCTCTCAGCTGCAGGGTGTCGGTTGTTTGTGTTTGTGCTGAGCATTTGTTTGGAATGACTGCTGTTATGATTACCATCATTGATCAGTCAGAAAAAGAAGATCGATAGGAAATGACAAGGTCATGGGATTTCCCTCCAACACTGTGCTCTCTCCAGCTCTCTGTAGACTAACCTAGATTTAATCAAGCCAGAGAAAAGGGTCTATCTATCTATCTATCTATCTATCTATCTATCTATCTATCTCTATCTTGAAGCAAACCTTGATTAAAAACATTTTCCTTAGCAAAAGCAGGTGTGTTTAAATGGTAGAAAATAGGGAAAACCCGAAACTATTGAACATGCAACATCATTTGATTTATCACATTTTTTTTAAAGTTCAGTTGTTTTTACCAACCCTATAGATTGTTCTTCCTGTGATTTCCTTTTATCTTTTGAATGTACTTTTTCACCTGTTTGTGTTTTAAAGTGAAGCAAACTGGAATCTGTTCTCAGTAGTGAAGAGTTCTTTTCGACCAGGTGTTTTCATTTCTGCTGGATATTTCAGGGGTTTTTGTAAAAAAAAAAAAAAAAATGTTTTGCTGCTGCTGCTGGGACGTATTGTTGATATGAATCATTGTAGCTCTTGTCTAGTCTGGTCTGGGGCCCCCTCTAGTGAGGAAGTGGGTTTCTGTCCCCCAACATGGAGCCTCTATTGTCTGCAGGGACAAAAACAGCAGCAGCAGCAGCAGCAGCAGAGAACCATTTATCATGGAACCACATAAACCCGGCATCACAAGGCTTTTATGGATCAGAGTCAGATGATGATTTGATCCTTGTTTTTTTTGGAGAAATAATGTGAGATATCTGACTCTGGGGATGAGTTTGGGGCTCAGTCTGTCTGTGCGGAATTTATTTAGATTTTATTCCTTTAATTAGAGGTTGCTAAACTATTTTATGCTGGTTTTCTCAATGTATGTTTAAAGCGTTAAACGTCCCTGAGTTTTGAATGATTATATTATTAAATCAGAGGAAAACGATAAAATGATCTAAAAGTAAAAAAAGAAAAAGAAAAATTGAGCTATGATGTCCACAGACAAATGAACTCAAAACAGAACAAAATTCCAAAAATTTAAACATCAAACATTTTAAACATAACAGAGAACATCTGAAAGTTAAATTTAATTTTTTAATAATTTTATTTTGTAATAATTTGTAAAATTAATTGCGGATTAAAATATTAAATATATATATATATATAATATTTAAATAAATGTAATAACTCAGAAAATAACTTTTACTTGTCTCTCAGACATTAAAACTGCAGTAGATGTGTGTAAAATATTTGACCTATACAGAGGATTTCTTTAGTCAATACAAAATAATTCAATTCAACACAGTCACTGTATTTTATCACTCGAGAAAACCCAACATTTCACACATTATTTTAAACAACAGCTGCATCCATATGTCTTTTCTCAACATGAACTACACGACAGTCGATATTTTCAGTGTGAAGTTACATCCGCATCCAGTGTTTAAAATTGAGAGAAAAATGATTTCTCTGTTTATTTAAATATAAACACACATTTAAATAAACAGAGACTTTAATCAAGTCTCTGTTTATTTAAATATTTCTTTTAACTCATTTATTCGTTTTCTTTCACTGATGATAAAAAACCCCAACTCTTGCAATAATTTAAGAAATTCTAATGTTCAACAAAAAATGTATTTTTTAAAATAGGATTTAAATTTTAAATTTTAATTTTTATTACTGATAAAATTACGGTAAAACCATAATTAATAAAACAATTATGATTATTAAAACTTCATTACTTTATTTTTTCCTCTTTTTTTTGTTATTGTCTAGATTGAAGTCAGTCTTTGTTCTTTTGAATATTTTAAAGCAGGATAAAAAAAAACAAAACAACGACAGTATTTACCTACCGAGTCCATGCCACTTACAAATACACATAAGTAATGTGTTAAAATATAAACCAAAAATTGAACCCATTTCAGTGACAGGAATGTCACGACTGTAGCTGGATTCACTGACAGAACAGTGTGAATCAGTGACGTGTTTAGATTCAAATGTAACTTCATAAGAGTCAGGTGGAGAGTGTTCAAACAGAACTCTGACGGGTTTCTGTGGGTGGGTAAATAAAAACAACTAGAAACAAATATATTCACTGTAGTACATTTTCACAGGGGAAACTTTTTTTTTTTTAACTGCCCAAATTTTAAAAAATGAGCGAAATGTTGAAAATCAATTG